CACTGCGTGAGTTCTCGCCTTCAGGAATAGCAACGGCTATGCTGCTACGATACGACAAAAGACATAGTCATTAGCGCAAATCTGAAAAATCAGAACATGTCGAAATAAATCAGCGTCAAACATATTACTTCCCGAAACACGTAGCAATCGCGCCAGTGCCTTTTTGGGGCGACGAGGCAGTTTAGAAATCGTTCTGAGAATCAAGCCGATGTGCCTCAATATGTTACGCGCCCTTACCAAACAAGCAAGGTAATCCATTGGGTGGTGTCTGCGTCGTAACGCAGCCGTTACGACTGTAGCACGCATCGACGACTTAGGCATGTCTGAAGTTGATTGCAACCAGGACAGTGTGCAAAGTGCCGAGAGTTCACGGTTGGGAAGCCATGGCGTCAGAGAGCCATCACGGCTATTGACAGTTGCTGCCACGAGCGAACAGACGACATCGCCCGTGTTCCACCGCGAGATAGTAGCAAGTCGATGCATCATGGCGGATGATGACGTCATCGCATAGTATCGCCACGCCGTCATTGGTGAGTCACAACCGAGACATGACGTCACCGTCACGCGTTCGAGCAGCCCATCGACGGGACCGTGTTCTGGTCATGCGTCTGATGGAGCGCGCCGGAGCGCGGCCGTCTCGTTAGCTCCCGACAGCGGCGCGTGAGAGCGTCCGGGCTGCCAGGCGGGTCCGTCCCAGCGGCGTCACGTGAAGTGACGTCACCAACTTCCGGCACCAGCGCCGTGAGAGATGCGACACTTAGTGTGGGCGCTGACACAGAGCGGAGGCAGCCTACGTGACAAATGGCTAATGTCAAAGATTGAGCTGTCTTTCGCTTAAGCCGAAGTACTCACTCGCTGCAAATCATTGTTGGCAACTGCCGTTTATTCAGAAGCTTTCCGTAGGAGTTAAAAGTCGGGGGCAGAACAGCTCCTCGGCTGGAGAAAAGTATTGCTGCTGGTGATACAATTTTCTTAGATTCAATACATCCCCGTCCTAACCCGCCTTTCGAAAGTGAAGCTATGGGCCGGTACGTGGCTCGGACCTCTATGGTAGCCTGCTATTCTGTGGTTGCCAGCCGCGGACGAGGGGGAAGACGGGGGAGGCAGCCGTGTCAGCGCTGCTAGCCTCGTTAGAGTCTCTTGATTGTGCTGCCCGGCTGCCGGCCGCTCCAGCGATAAACAGGCCCATAAAACTCCAGCTGGTCGCGCCGCCCGTCCCCTCGTCCCCGGCAGCCGCCACCCTCTCACCAACAGAAGGCAGCCCCGGGCCGGCCGGAGGCCCACCGTGACGTCACAATCGGCCGCGGCGCAGGATTGGTGCCGGCGGCGGCCTTGACACCGGCGGCCCGCCGCCCGAGCCAACCCCCTGCAGTCCCGGGGGGCCGCCCTAATGGCCTGTATTGTGCACGCACTCTGTGATTAATGGCGCCGATAGCAGGGCCCGTACGAATTCTCCGGGAACAATCCGGCCGATTACAGACATGGCACGGGAGATTCGCGGATGGGTTCTCCACGCGCGCCGGCCTTCATTCAGGGTGCTTCGGATAATCGGTAACACACGGGAGACAGCGGGCCAACCCGTGTTTCCAGTGAGCTCCCCCCCCCCCGCGCCCGACACACCTAAATGCCAGCTCACGAGCGCTCTCCGCGGGCGCGGCCGGGGCCCGGGCTCAGCACGTGCGTCGGCAGGTTCGACAACCTGCCATCTCCGTCTTCACACTTGAACAGGAAGCATGCCGCTGACTGGACGGCAGTGCGTGCTCACACAGCGTCCCTCGCTGGCTGGCTTTGGCCCCTCCTCTGTGGGCACAGAGCCGCGCAGGCCCCCGGGGCGGCGCCGGAACGGGCCGGAGAAGGTGCAACAGCGGCGCGGAAACGCCGCTCGGCCAGAAACGACCACTTCCGGCCGACGGCATTAGAGACAATTAACGGCCTGAAATTGGACGGAGGACGGGCTATAGAAGCGCTAACTACGTCAGCACGGTGAGTTTGAGCTGTGCCTGCTGCTCAAAAACAAACGCACCACGAGATCTGAGCGTGCTGAAATAGTAAGGCAGTGAGTGAGAGCGCTGGAGTTCATTCTTCGACCCTCGTATCGTGCTTTTCCCAACACGGCAAACAACGTAAATTATCGCCATGCCAGGTGGTCTGGTGAAGGCGTATGCCACGAGACATGCAAACCTAGTAACTACATAATCTTACTCAGAAATGAGAGCAAGGACAGAATGTGGTGACCCGACGCGGTAAAAGCCTCGGCTCACCTTCACTGAAATGTTTACGATCTCTTTCTCACACCTAAATGATACGGATACCCGTCACGACAGCTTCGCCATGCGGTGCACAACTTTTGTCGGCATTCTCCGCCGCCATTTAATGAGAGCGCTGGGAGACACCAACGGTATTATTCACAGCACCACTCAGCGTTCGTTGCAGCCATGAGGCAGCTGTAGGCACACACACTTTGGCAGAGCCATCCTCCGCTGGCTCGAAGACCCGTCTGGTGAATAATGCATTTAGGTGATCATATACAGGATGCGTCTTAGAGCATTCGAAGGCAACAAAGGCAACGACAGAGCTCTGTACCGTTGGGTTTGTTTTAACAAAATGGCACTCATTCCTAACCCCGGTTTCTTTTCGTAACTCCCATACGACATTTCTTCGAAATTAAATGCATAATGCCATAACGATTCCGAAAGCGCAAGGTTGTTTTGAAGTATGTACAGAAAGAAAGCGCAAAATGTATAAGAGAATGCTTTGAGCGAGACAAATTTTGTATAACGATATCCTAGATCCTCAAATATTCTGCAAACCCTACCGACATGTACAGATTTCAAAAAGGTTTGCTGAACAAACTGCTTAACAGGTAGAAATGTACGCATTTTACACCTTTTAAAATGTTTAAGACATTTTATCTCTCTTGGTGAAGACGTCTTGGGCATCTTGGCAGCCTTAACAGCACAAGGGACATCTAAAAAGCCCTACTCATGTTTACAGAGCAGCCAGCAAAGCGAAAAGGTCAAAACCCAAGTTGCATTTTGATGGCGTATTATTTTGTCTTTGACCGTGAATGTGATCAATATTTAGAAGAGCGCGCAGTGAAATGAAGAACCACGCGATTCATGTTAATCGAGTCTTGACGACACGTTCGATACACGAGGCAATAACACAACACTGCTGTTTAAACGCTGGCTGGGGGGTACAAATGCGGCGCACCGAAGTCGGATAGTGGGCAACCTAGCGTGCAAGTCGTGCGTGGTTCCCAAATTGCAAGAGCTGTGCGCTTATCATTCTGCGTAACATGCACCGATCACTCGTCATTTGAGAGTGTCGCGCGGCTTGTGCACTACCTTGCGCACCACCCGAGCACCACCTTCCGCACCATCTGAGCATCACCTTCCGCACCACCCGAGCACTACCTTCTGCACCACCCGAGCTACACACATTTCTATGCCTCCTGCATAAGTCATGCAAAACACAAATGGTCCAACTTGCAAGTTGCCGGATAATGGAAATGTTTATACATACTGGCTGTCTAACTGCTGAATACGTATCGTAGGCATGTTGTTCGTGCATATCCGAAGAACGGAAAGCGTCGAGAATGCAAACCAAATTGCATTAATTCCGGCTTATCATTTGAATGCACTCCGAGGTTACGGCATTTGTACTAAACGTACATTGACTGGCACGTGCGAAGGCCAGCGGTCTGGTTCTCTGAGGAAGCAATGGCGCTTTACATAATGACACGGCTCCGCAAACGACTCCCAACGGCGAACAAAGTCTGTCGTGCTGGGCCGATATTGGACTTAACTTCGTACTGCCAAGCTCCGGTAATGTCCCTGCCGCTTCAAAACCTGGCCTTGATGTGTGATGGGTTCATCCACACTTCCTTTCATAATAACGAATTTAACAGTGTCGGCGAAAATAGGGCGGGCCATTCATTGCAGCGGAATACTTCTAGCCGTGTTAGCCACGAACAGCTTGTTCTACTTCACTGCTTCCACTGAGCCGTGAGCTGGCCCACGCTCACGCCACGGACGCATGGCCGCTGACATCGGGCAAGACTTCTCGCCACGGACACGTAATCGCTGACATCGGGCGAGACGGCTCGCCACGGACACACGACCGCTGACATCGGGAAGACGGCTCGCCACGGACACGTAATCGCTGACATCGGGCGAGACGGCTCGCCACGGTCACGTGACCGCTGACACCGGGCGAGACGGCTCGGCTCGCCACGGAGACGTGACCGCTGACATCGGACGAGAGGGCACGACACGGACATGTGACCGCTGACATCGGGCAAGACGGCACAACACGGTAATGATTCGGTACGACGTTTCATGTTACGTTACAGCACAACGAGCGCAATAAGGCCCATTCATGAAGTGATTCACGCAGTCACAGCCACATTCAAATCGTACGTAGGCCAGAAAAAAGAGTTGATTACATTTCCGCGCAGCTTTGAAAGGGAGATATCTGGATGAACAGTGCATGCGGATTCAGTATGTCTGAAGAGCAGCCGGAAAATCTGAAGTCTGCAATGCATCGGCATGGAGGTCCATAGACTGACGAAAGAATACCGCTAAATGGCTCGTACATTTTATAGACGGGGCATGTCGATCCGACAATCTCTACAGGAATGTCCCAGGGCATGGTATAATTACCTAAACACTTTACTCAACTTCTCTAACATGCCCAGATACTCTCATGGGAAAATTACTTGATTTAAAGAAACTGTGCATGCTTTATAACTGAGTGTCATGGCTTCTAGTCGAATGCAGTTTAAGCTGCACACAGCACCACAAAAGACGGCACGAGCGAACACGTGGCGGTAACGTTTTGCTGCTATCACAGCAACAAATCACAAGCACGACGTGCAAAAAAGCAGCACAGAGTACGTGCGAGCGGCGCAAAGGCCCCGTCAGCATAAATTCACTGGCACCGAACAAACGATTAAACAAAACGGCACTTGACAGCGATTTCACAAATGAATCACTTACCTGAGACATCAAACGTGAGCAGGACAGCCAGTAGCGCCCACAGAATGGTCTTCATTAGTTGCGAACGGCACTCCATTTCCGTCGCCCCTCCGCGGCCTGTCCACGAGCCCCTAGACCTCACTCCGCAGGGGCGTGACTAGTCGGCAGCTGACCCGCTCAGTTCAGGGGTCACCCCAGTGACCCTGGGTCGCAATTGCGTCACACCGCGCCGCGAGGCACCGCAAGCCGGCGCACAGCGCTGGCTGCGGCCCAGAGTCAGCACCAGCACCAGCACCAACCGCCGGCAGCGCTGCACTAGTCTGCAAGCTCGACGTGCCGCCGATCACCAGCTGCGGTACGTCGCTGCCGTGCGGCGCGGTCCAGCACCGGCGACCGAGCTCCGCGTCTGGCGTCCCGCTCCGGCCGCAGCTTCCGGCGCCGGGCGGCAATCACGTGGCGGCGCGCCTTCCGGTCCCACGCCGCCGGTCCGCTGCCCACCTGCCCGCACGACAACGGCTGCCGGCCGACTGAGGCGGCGGCGCGCGTCCGGAACAATTGGGCGCCCGCCGGCGACATCTAGCGGCTGAGACGGGAACTGTCGGCGGCCGGACGGGCTTACCTGCGCGCCGCCGCCTGAGGTGGGTGTAGGGTTTGGGTGTCGTGACATGATATACCGGACTTAATGGCAGGCGAGCTTGACACAAAGTGTATCGCACACGCAATGCTTGTCCTTTACTTCGCATGGATGGAAATGTAGCAGAAAATGAGTCGGTCCAGAGTGCGATCAAAAGAACTATTTGCAGCCTGAGGAACGATGAATTTCCGACGCTCACGCGTTTCAATAATCTATCACGCTAGTGTCTCGCCGGCCACAGCGTGGTCGGCGGCCGTGGCAGGTAATTGGCCGCTGCAAAGCAGGAGTTCTGGCCAGAGGTAACGCTGAGCCGAAGGGGAGGAATGGACTGAACGGACCGAAATGTACGGGAGAGGAACGGAATTGTTTGGAGTTGATAATGAGGCTATCGACCAGACATGCCTTACCTGGCCGGACCGAACCAAAATGGACTCACTCACACCGAACTTGACGGAGGTGAACCAGAATGCAATTGACCAGGTGGCACCGGGCAGATCAATGAAGACAACCGCCGACTGGAGAGGAGAACTGAAAACGAAGAATGTGAGTCAGAACGGACCGTACCTGGCTGGGTTGTGTTTGACCCAACTGAATGGGCCGGAACTTTAAGGCTGGGTTGTGTTTGACCCAACTGAATGGGCCGGAACTTTAATAGACCGCAGAGGACAAAACACGGTCGAAAGGGACCACAGATTACTAGAAAGACCGGAAAATCCAGCGGAGCTTGATGGCGGCAAAATAAATCGGGGTTGGGAGGGACCTGACTGCAGTGACGGTGGAGCGTCCACGAAAATGAGACGGGTGAGGGGGAGGGAAGCAGTACCTCGCTCTTCTCAAGCACTCCGTGATGCTAAATAATGCACAGAGTTGGGGAGCCCCCTCTGCCCCTCCCCAATCCACCGCCCTTTGCCGGACTGGATCAAACCGGAAAAGATCCACGGATGCGCACCGGGAACCGGGCGTTGACCGGGATCTTGACCCGAACAGGGTCGTACTGGGACCTTGACCCGAACAGGGTCAGACCGGGATCTTGACCCGAACAGGGTCGGACTGGGATCTTGACCCGAACAGGGTCGGACCGAGATATTGACCCGAACGGGGTCGAATCGAGATATTGACCTGGACACGGTCGGACCGGGATTTTGACCCGAACGGGGTCGAACCGGGATCTTGGCCCGAACAGGGTTGGACCGGAAAGACTTAAATGGACTGGAATGGTAAGTGGCTGGCTGGGATCGGAGGGGACGACGGAAAGAAAACAGGCAATATCAGAACTGTATTAAACCGTGCCAGATCATATTTGATATAACCTGAAACGCCTGGAGACGAGCGGATCGTACAGTATACAGTCCCGCCCGATCCGTTCTGGTTGGATCTAATCCAGCCGACTTCATTCTCTGGTTTCCAGTTCGGTCCTTTTCTTTGAGGTCCGTTCCTCCCGCTGTCCAGTTCAGCTCAGCCCAGTGTACGTTACTCAAGCGCAGTCCCTTCCGGTTCGGATCAAGGTCTGAGTTCGGGTCCGGTCCCCGGGGCGCGTGCCTCAGTATGTTCCGGTCCGGTTCCGTCAGATCCAGCTCAGTCCTGATCTCTTCTATCGCCTCCAAACTCGTCTCGCTTCTTTAGTTCTTCGCAGTGCGCTGTAGTCCTTTCCGGCCGTTTCTGGTCTTCTGTGGCCTGTAAAGCTCGGCTGGATCGCCCTTATGCCAGAGGTAAATCTGTTAATATGTGTGGTTCAGCCTTGTGCCAAAGGTTAGCCATTCTCTGCATGATTCGGCCTCATGCCAGAGATAAACCTGTTACTCTGTGTGGCTCGGCCTCGTGCCAAAAGGTTAGCCGTTCTTCGCATGATTCCGCCTTATGACAGATACAAACCTGTTACTCTGTGTGGATCGGCTTCGTGCCAAAAGGTTAGCCGTTCTTCGCATGATTCCGCCTTATGCCAGATATAAACCTGTTACTCTGTGTGGATCGGTTTCGTGCCAAAAGGTTAGCCGTTCTTCGCATGATTCCGCCTTATGCCAGGGATAAACCTGTTGCTCTGTGCGGCTCGGCCTCGCGCCAAAAGGTTAATATTTTACTTCGTGTGGGTAGTAGTAACCTACCGGCTGAGCCGCCTGTGTTTCGTGCGACCCTCAACGTTGCCATGTGTGTCGTGTAGCCCTCAACGTTGCCCTCAACGTTGCCCTGTGTGTCATGCAGCCCTTAACGTTGCGATGTGTGCCGTTTGGCCCTTAACGTTGCCCTGTGTGTCATGCAGCCCTTAACGTTGCCCTGTGTGTCATGCAGCCCTCAACGTTGCCCTGTGTGTCATGCAGCCCTCAACGTTGCCCTGTGTGTCATGCAGCCCTCAACGTTGTCCTGTGTGCCGTTTGGCCCTTAACGTTGCCTTGTGTGTCATGCAGTCCTTAAAGTTGTCCTGTACTTGGTGCAGTCCTTAATGTTGCCCCGTGTGTCGTGTAGCCCTAAAAGTTGTCCTGTGTGTAGCGCAGCCTTTAACGTTGTCTTGTGTGTCGTGCAGCCCTTAAAGTTACCTTGTGTGTCGTGTAGCCCTTAATGTTGTCCTGTGTGCCATACAGTCCTTTACGTTGCCCTGTGTGTCGTGTAGCCCTTAATGTTGTCCTGTGTGCCATACAGTCCTTTACGTTGCCCTGTGTGTCGTGTAGCCCTTAACGTTGTCCTGTGTGTCATACAGTCCTTTACGTTGCCCTGTGTGTCGTGTAGCCCTTAATGTTGTCCTGTGTGTCATACAGTCCTTTACGTTGCCCTGTGTGTCGTGTAGCCCTTAATGTTGTCCTGTGTGCCATACAGTCCTTTACGTTGCCCTGTGTGTCGTGTAGCCCTTAATGTTGTCCTGTGTGTCATACAGTCCTTTACGTTGCCCTGTGTGTCGTGTAGCCCTTAACGTTGTACTGTGTGTCGTGCAGCCCTTAACGTTGTACTGTGTGTCGTGCAGCCCTTACCGTTGTCCTGTGTGTCATATGCTGTGATGGGAGAGCTCGATTTATTGATTATGTTGATTCCTTTCTTGTGACACACATTGTACAGATTCGGAGCATTTTCTGTATCAGCGTGCGTCAGTTTCGTCTGTGTACGGGGGTGATATGCATGATGCCCCACCCCCTTCCGGGGAGTGTAGAGTCATGTACATACCCCATGAGCCGAAGCAAAGCCAAAATTTTATGGTGAAGGGGCACTAAAATCCTTGTTTTGGATTCACATGACTTTTTTAAGAGGCATCAAATTTCAGAGGCACCACAAATGATTCCAAATCTTCCTTTTCAACAGACACTGAAGTCAGGGGGCACCACAGCTCCCCCCAGGCCTTCACCCTCAAGAGGTACCACATCCCAGGGACACAATGATGTTGTGCCTCCCACCCTGATGAAATTCAGGATTGGTCCTTTGGGCGAGAGGGTACCAAAGCCTTCATCTCGGGGCACCATGACACTTATTCTCAAAATATACTACAGACATGTGGGCAATTTAACGGGCCCAAACCTCGATTTTGAGAGGGTACTTAATCTAGCGTCATAACAATTTATGTTCCCTTCACCCTGACAAAATTCTGAATGGGCCTGTTCCACGAATGTGCACCAAAACCTTCATTTCTGAGCATCATAATCTTTATTTTCCGGAGGTGCACTATGCCAGGGCCACCACAAAGCACGGGCGGATCCAGAGGGGAAAGGGGCCCATGACGGCCGCATGAGGTTTTGGTGTCCGAGGAGGCACCAAAATCCCATGGTGAAGGAACACATAAATCGTCATTTTGGATCCACCAAATTATTACTTTAATGAAGCACCAAAGTTCAGAGACATAAACGACCCGAAATATTTATTTCTGAGTCATCAAATGCCAGGGTCATCGTACAGGGTATCAAATCTTCGTCCTTAATGGGCACCAAATTCCAGGGGCATAATTATGTTGTGCCTCCCACGCTGATGAAATCTTGGATTGGACCCTTGACGCAAGGGGCACGAAAACATTCATTACGGGGAGCAATTTCCATTTTTAAAAGGTATGAAATCAGAACATGCCATTTAAAAGGCCCGACACAATAGTTTCAAAAGTTTACCAACAACCTGATGCACCACGTTTTCCGCTTCCAGTCTGCTGAAACTCTGGATCTGCCCGCTCCGCGAAGGCGACAATCACTTTCATTTTTGGGCATTATAGTCTTTAGTTTTCAGCGGCATCCAGTCCCAGAAGTACCACAAAGCTTCCCCAAAACCTTAATTATCAAGAGACGAGTCTAGGTAACACTGCAATGCCCGTTGCTCGTCATTCGATGAAGTCTTAAGTTGGCCCAGTTGACGAATGGGCACCAACACCTTCCTTTCGAGGCACTATAGCATATATTTCCTGGAGGCACCAAAGTCAAGCGGGCGTATGAAAGGCCCCGAAATTTTCCTTTCAGGCGGCACCAAAACCATGGGCACCATAAGTTAATTCTCTTCCGCTCTGATGAAATCTTGGATCGGCTCATTCCGTGAACGGGCTCCAAAAACCTTCATTGGGGGCATTATAACCCTTGTTTTCAATAGGCATCCATATGCAGGGGCGAACATAA